TAGTACCGACTATTAGTTGATCAGATTCTGGTGTATAGGCAGGAGCAACAAATCAGCTTAATTTGTGGTTCCGATTCTTCATACCTGACACTTCTCTATCTCAGAGAGAAAATCAGAGTTAATTCGCAACTTGAACTCTTTTTAGGTGTTTAAAAAGGTTAAGTGGCTCTCTCTTTCTTTGATTTTGCCATCAACGCTGCTCACCCTGGCAAAGATTCAGAGAGCAATCTTGCCCACTTCCTTTGCACGTCTTGAAGTCTGAGTTTGCAAACATGCTAGACTAAGTTAAAATGGGGCTGAGTAATTTGAGTCTCATAGGAAGAGAAACCTAGATGTTCTGCAGGATGAGTGGAAATTTGCCTGGTATTTATTTACAGCCATGACACCCCTGCAGATTGAAGGTCTGGTGGCTTATTAGATAATCAATAACGAATTAGATGATATGGGGATGAGAGGCTAAAACATAAAAAGATTGCTTGCTGGAACTGGATATGTCTAGTAATATGAAAAGAAGGACTAGGGGAGACATGATAGCAGTGTTCCAATATCTCAGGGGCTGCCACAAAGAAGAGGGTGGGGGGGTCAAGCTATTCTCCAAAGCACCTGAGGGCAGGACAAGAAACAATGGGTGGAAACTAATCAAGGAGAAAAGCAACTTAGAACTAAGGAGAAATTTCCTGACCATTAGAACAATTAATCAGTGAAACAACTGGCCTCCAGAAGTTGTAAATGCTCCAACACTGAAAGTTTTTAAGAAGAGATTGGACAACCATTTGTCTGAAGTGGTGTAAGCTTTCCTGCCTAAGCAGGGAGTTGGACTAGAAGACCTCCAAGGTCCCTTCCAACTCTCTTATTTTAAATTAGAAGCTTTTGTAAGCTATGAATTCCTGTTACTGGAATCAAGGAAAGTGACATGTTATTTAGCCAAAGCAGCAGCAAGAGGCGAGATAAAGATTCAGGAGTAAGCAAAATTTATCTTTAGCACTATAAAAAAAACATATCCAAAAGTAGTCAACTTGTATGATAGTACAATAGAATTAAATAATTAATGGAGTATGCAGATGCCTTTTCTTTGAATGCATGTGTGACTGTCATGGAACTTTGTAACCAATCAGCAATTTTCTTACGGTATTTTTATTTCCTGTAGTGAATTTTACAAAAATAACTGTGCCTGATTTCTCTTTGGGTATGAAACCCAGAGGAGACCTTTTCTTCTTCTGTACAGAAATAAGAGTTTTGTCTTTCTTCAATCCTGCGTGGACATTGTGTTCTTCACACTGGGTTCCCTTACATAACCAACAATTCCCTTAGTATAATAAGTGAATGAGACCATCAATGTTTAGTGCTTAATCAATTTATTGGAGCATCTAGTGGGACCACGAAAAAGGGCCTTCTTGGAGATGGCCCCTTCTTTAGAGAACATTATTCCTCCAGAGGTATCGTTGCTCCCATCCTGTTTCTGTTGTGGTTAGCCGGCAGCAGGTGCAGATGGCTGAGGAGAGCGAGGACTCTGATGAAGGGCAGGACCTTCAGGGAGTGGATTGCTGCCTTCCAGAGATTGTGGGGGCTGGTAGCAGTGATGAGGAGGTTCCTGAGGAGCCTGTGCCAAGTGCATGTGCACAAAGGATTACTCGGAGGAAAGAACAATTACAGCAGCACAGGTGACTCAGGAGTAAGGCTGCAAGGTAATGGCCCCTCCCTCAAGAGGATAAAAGCCAGATTTGGAAAAGAGTTCTTTGCAGACAGCAAAGAAGCTCTTAAGCTCAACTGGTGGACATCTTAGTTCATGTTTGGAGAATCTTGTAAATTAGTTCTTATCTGGGTTTTTGGCAGCCTTGACAAACAACTTGGCAGGGGTCTTTCTTGTCGGAGCTAATTGTTGGAAAGCAGCCTTTTATTTATTTATTTATTTATTTATTTGATTTGCCAATTGTTTACAAGATAATAAGTATAAGTGTATACATAGTTGTGAATACATGAAATGGGTACATATAAGAAAAATAAAAGAATAAGAGAAACAATAGGACAGGGACGGTAGGCACGTTGGTGCGCTTATGCACGCCCCCTACAGGCCTCTTAGGAAAGGGGTGAGGTCAATAGTAGACAGTCTAAGGTTAAAGTTTTTGGGGTTTGGGGAAGAGACTATAGAGTCGGGTAGAGTATTCCAGACATTGACCACTCTATTGCTGAAGTCGTATTTCCTGCAATCAAGTTTGGTGCGGTTTACTTTGAGTTTGTATCTATTGTGTGCTCTTGTGTTGTTATGGTTGAAGCTGAAGTATTCATTGACAGGTAGGACATTGCAATGTATGATTTTATATACCATGCTTAAGTCAGGCCGAAGACGGCGTAATTCAAGGTTTTCTAGTTTTAGAATTTCAAGTCTGGTGGCATAAGGTATTCTACAACGAGTAGAAGAGTGGAGAACTCTTCTTGTGAAATATTTCTGGACTTTCTCAATTGTGAAAAAAACAGGTGCCACTGCAAAATACCATCATTATTTATTTCTGCTCTTTCGTAAGCTGCCCAATGGCACAGTGTTGGAGCTGAGCAACCGTGTATATTTCTGAAATAAACACAATCGTAATCATACTCTCCAAATCCAACTATTTATTTAGCAAATGGTAGAGCAAGTCAGCAAAGATATAGTAGCACCAGGAGATCATTGAATCTAAGCCCGAAAAAAATATCTGTGAATATTTGGAGTCGAGGCCTGAGTGATTCCATTCACACATCATCCTAAGCTATAATTTATTTCCATTGTGTTCTCATAAATGAAGACAAATATATGTCTTCCAGGATAATTGCAGGATCCAATCTGGATTGGTCACTTGGACAAAGAGGTTTAATCTTCCAAGGTTTTGGAATCATCTTGAAGTCCATAATATTTAGCCCAAAGCACCATATTCCGATAGAGAGAAGTTCCCTGAGGATGGGCTCAAGCAAGAGTCCAAAAGTTCGGAATCGGAAGACTAAACCTCTGGTCCCAGTGACCAACCCAGATTGGATCCTGCAATATTATCCTGGGAGATGTACGTATATTTGCCTTCATTCAGGAGTTTGGATCCATTGTTTTATTTATTTATTTATTTATTTATTTATTTATTTATTTATTTATTTATTT